AAGACACAGCCTTAAAAGCTTTTAATGCAGTAACTCATTTTGCAAAGAGAAGGCAGTAATGACTGCTTACATTTGTATTATTTTAATTCTTTCAGAAATGCTTTTACATGCTATTCTCAGTTGATTTCAACCTCTTAAAGTGGACAGGATAAAAAACAATAGAGATACTAGCTGACATTTATCAAGTGTCGATTATGTGCCAGGCTCTTTGCTAAATGTTGGACATATTTATCTCCTTTAGTCCTCACTACTCTTTATCAAACACATATTATCATCATCCTCATTTTGCATGTAAAGAAACAACCTTAGTTTGGAAATAACTTATCAGATCTTTTAGCTATTGGGGGAGTGGAGGCAGAATTTGAACCCAGAAAGTCAGTTTCCAGAATTTAAAGTTTTCAAGAGAAAATTATAGATACAACTAGGAAATTAGATGGTGATGAATTGGGAAGAAGGAGATGCCACATGATGAAGAAAATAAGAACAGAAAGAAAATCTAACAATTTGATAACTCAATAGAACTAAGTTTAAAAGAGCAAAGATGCAACCAGGACATGTATAAACAGAACACTTATCTTTTTTAATCTCTTCATATTTTCAGCCCAGATTCTGCTGCCCTTAGTCTTTTCTTGAAAACTTTACCTGCTTGGTAGCATGCATGCCTGATGTGGTTAGTTTTACAGAGAAATTAGAAGCTAAAGGAGAAGATGGGAAGTTTCTGACTTTGAAATGGGCTGTCTTGCTACTTCCCTCCCCTCCCTCCCAATCTGGAAATTCCTCCTGCTTTTTGAGAGTCTAGTTCCTGACTTCTGCTTGGAAGGTCAGGCTTGCTTGCTTGGGAAAGATTGAGTTTTGGTGTGAGCAAGACTCCAGTTCAAATACTGAGGCTAGAGGGCTTGGCTTATTATAGTCTCTGAACTTTTGCCCACAGCTATGGCCAGGACTGACCCCATCCTAGGGGACTTTGTGAGGACTGGAGACAGTGTATGTTTATCACCTGGCACACAGTAAATGCTGAGAAGATGGGAGAAAGGTTTGCTGGTCACTCAGTACCTTTGTCCTGAGAGACGCCCTCGCTGTCTATGTGGGGCTGGGCAAGGGGTGAAGGTCTGGGAACTGTGCTGGGTGCTGCGGGGCTAACTGACCCCTGGAGGGAGTGTGAGTGAGTGCAATATGGTCAAATACATGGCAACCTGGCATAATTCAAGGCTTGAAATTTACTTAAGGGATGAAATTAAAGAAAGGATAAAAGAGCAGCAAAGTCAGTTCTGACGTTGGTAAAGGTGAGTCATGTCACCCCACGTGTGGTTTGTCCATAATAAGGGCATTCATGGAAGAGAAGCTGAGTGAGCATTTGGTAATGAAGGTAATCACCCTTGTCCCCATTCTTCTGCCTCAGGGTGTCAGATTCAGCCATCTTCAAAGTTACCCCAGAGTAATTTCTGGCTCCAACCAAATACTTGTCTCTGACTCCCGGCACACCTGTACTATCCACCCCCCACCGCCCGCATATATTCCACCTCTATACAAATAATGTTGACTGGAGTCCTTTGAATAAACTGTCGTTTGTATCAGATTATCATTTGACAAAATCAAGAACGCGTAGTTTACTAATGACGGTATTAGAGTAACTGCTGCCTGTAGTATATTAATTATTGCCTGTATAGCTTGGCCCCATGCTCTGATTATTTGCAAGCTATTGAATACCAACATCTTCCTCTATGTAAAGAATAGCCCAGTTCTGCTCAGGGCAGAATCTTGGTTCCAACTGCCTTAGAAAATGAATGACCACAGACAAGCCACTTGCCTTGTCCAATCTCAGGTTTGCTGTGTATGCAATGGCACAGCTTGTTTCTCCCCAGGGCTCATAAAGACAGTGAGTAGAAGGAAATATATGAAAGTGCTTTGTGAGTCTGGGATTTTGTTTAGATTGCCAATCAGTGTTTTTCTCTCTCTTTCAATCAATGCATGTTACTGATTAAAATAAGCTAATGTTGACAATGCCATCCTATTTGTTGTCAGATCTTACTGCAGCTGCTTCTGCTGTTCAATTAAAGCTGTGTTGGGTAAAAGCTCCAAGGTTTAATCCAGGTCAGTTCTGGGAAAAAAGAGGTGGTGAAGGTAGAGAAGCAAAAGTAAAAAAAATCAGATTATGAAATAATCCATGTTAAGCTTCAGATACTAGTCATTAGCTCTTGATTCTTATTGGACTGACTTCCAGGAATCCTACAGCTAGTAGAGACAGCAACTATTCCCCCCCACCAACACAAACTCCTCAAGGCTTATTTTCAAAATGATGTTCTTTTTCCATTTACAGCTAAATAAGGAAGTCATCCATCTTCCTAAAAACACCACTTTCACCTTATTCTTCTTCTTCAGAAAAACCTTCAGTGTTTATCCATTAACTAGAAACAGATTCTGGAGTGCAATTTACACACCACCCCATTTGCCTACTCCCACTCCCCACCATCATCTCACCTTATTTATCATCTGTCTCCCGTAAAGCCAGAGGCCCCAGCTGGACTGGTTCCTTCAGATTCCCCAAGGAATGGCCTCTTTATGATAAGGGCCTTTGCTCACTCCTTTCTTCCATCCTGACACAATGAGTCTGTCTGCCCTCTTCCAGTTTTTACATATCATCTTAATCCTACCTTGGTTTTAGAATCTAGCTTAACTCTCTCTTCCTTCTGTGATGGTTCCCCCACCCACAGGTCTCCCCCCACACTTCTGCAGACCCTCTCTAGCATGGCTGTCACTGGCACAGCCTCATTACAGCTCAGCCCTGGAGAGGGCTCAGGTCATTTCTGGGGACCAGAGTCTGTCCCAAGCAGCGCAGCATCTTGCTGTCTCTCTGTGGACATGAGAAAAGTGGATGCTGATCCCATCATAAACCATGGTGTTCTGTTTTAGAAGGGTTGTGTCTAGAAGGTGAGGCAGGACCCAGCACCATGCTCATGGCTCTGGCCATTGAGCCAGGTCCACCCAGCGGCTCTGAAAGGTGGGGGTGACTGTTTCGTTTGTGGGAGTAACTCAGTCAACATGAACACAGCTCCACTTGAGAACTGTACTGGAGAGACTTCTAACTTGAATTCCTTTCTCCATTGGCCCTCAGAATAAGGGGAAAAAGGAAAAAGACTCATACACTGTCACCAACATGGCAGCATATATGCAAGCACCTCGCCAGTTACCATGGCAGGTGCCAGAAGTGTGGATTATTTCACTGCGTTCTTGCAAGGACCTGATGAGGTTAGTACTGATACAATCTCCATTCATAGCTGAGGAAACAAGCTCAGAGAGAGTAAATAACTTCTCCAATGTCCAAATGAGTAGTACAGTTTGATTTGAACCCAGCTGTATCTGAGTCCAAAGCCTGGCTTTAGTTTAGCTAGTCTATACCAGTGGTCCTCAAAGTACAGTGCCCAAAGAAGTAGTATCAGTATCTCCTGGAAATTTATTAGATGTAAGTTCTTGGGTTCCACCCAAGTCCTGCTGAATTAGAAACTCTGGTGACAATTTTTTGGGCTGTCACAAGTCCTCCTGGTGATGTATGCTTAAGTTTGAGTACTATTTCTCCACATTAAACCTGCTATAAGAAGGCCCCTATAACTGGGCCTAGAATCCATGTTGAGATAGTAACATCTGAAGATGCTGGTTATGTGTGGGCCTCTGACCGTGTCAAAGTCCCACCTGACATTTCTGTGCCACCTGGTTCCTCATCAACACCGACTTGGAGCTTTAAGTATATCTATAGATTTAGAAAGTAAGGGGAGAAAGTTTTTAAAAGTAAAAGAAAAATTGTTAGTTCCTTCAAATTTTTTGTGAAAAAAATTGTCAGTCTGATCATTTTTTAAAAAAAATTTGTTTTGTGCTTATGTCGAATCAGTTGTATTGCCAATTTTCACTGTCATTCATTCCATCATGTATTCAACATACATTTGTTGGGTGCTGAGGGCTTCCTGGTGGCTCAGAAAGTAAAGAATCTGCCTGCAATGTGGGATTTCTGGGTTTGATCCCTGGGTTGGGCAGATCCCCTGGAGAAGGGCACCCACTCCAGTATTCTGGCCTGGAGAATTCCATGGACAGAGGAGCCTGGCAGGCTACAGTCCATGGGGTTGCAAAGAGTTGGACATGACCGAGTGACTTCACTTTTTAAGGAGGTGACAGGTGCCAGTATGAGGCTCTTGTGTTTGAATAGTGAACCAGAAGCAAGCCCAGTAGGTCTTTTCCAAGCCTGCAGTACCCAGTCCATCCCCAAGAAGTGTGAAAAGTGCTGCCACAGAGGTAGGACAGGGCACTTTGGGAAAACAGAGGAAGCCGCTTCTTCCCGACTTGCAGTTAAAGGAGGCAAGGGTGCAGCTGAAAACCTAAGAAATAAATCTTGCTTAGCCTGGTGAAGGGACTGGCGTGGCAACTGGTGATGTGAAAGAATGCTCCAGCCAAGAGATGTACACCTGGGATGACCTGGGGAAGACATTGATCCTCGCACGAGAAAGACAGAGGCAAGTCTAGAGTGCCCAAAGCCCTCTGTCAGGGTGGGGAATGAAGGGAGATGATGCCCCAGAGAAAGACTGAAGGCAGACCTGACTGGTGGCCTAGGCTGGGGTACAGAGGTTGAACTTTATCCTTAGGGAAATGGGAAAACATTTTGAAAAGAGAAGTGACATGAAAAAATATTTATACTAGCAAAGTCTTTCTTTTATGGCCTTCTTTTACTATCGTTTCTTTATTATTGTTGGATGTGTCATCACTCTCTATGGACTGTGACCAACTTGGGAGTCATGGTTCTTCCTCTTTTTTCCTTCCATCTCCTCCAGGGTGTCTGCTCAGTATCCACCCCAACCCCGCCCAGGCTGAGTAAGACGATTGCCTGTGAGCTGCTCCTAACCATCCAGGCAGTGTGTTTGCTTATGGGCATTGTTTTTCTTGCCCCATGAATAGAAGGAAGTCACCCCTTAGAGTCTGGGTCTGCCTTCAGCATTGTCTTCTGCTCTTGGCTGCAGGCTGCATGTCCTTGCTGGTGACGGTCCAGCACACAGAGCGCTATGTTACCCTGTTTGCCTCGGTCATCCTTAAATGTGACTACACCACCTCTGCCCAGCTCCAGGATGTGGTGGTGACATGGCGCTTCAAGTCCTTCTGCAAAGATCCCATCTTTGACTACTACTCTGCATGTGAGTGCCCTCCTCCCCACTCTTGCCCCCCACTCTCCCAAGGCCCCTCTGTGAAGTACTGCCGTCAGGGTGTAGGAATTATTTAGGATCACAAATCCTTATAGTGAGAAGAAGCCAGAAAGATTGCTTATTGCAGTTCTCTCATTTTATAGATATATAAGCTGAGGCCAAGCAGATGACATAACTTATTCAGGGTCACATACCATTAATTTATTTTAAAATTTCTGTTCCGCTTTTTCCTAAAAGGAACAAAGGCAGCTTAGACATCAAGTAAAAAGGATGCAAGTCCTGCATCCTAGTTAATGCCTGGTTGCACTCGTATCCCCCACCCCACCAACCAGTCACAGGATGAATGAGGAACAGTCATTTGTGAGCCTCCCGCCCACTGCCACATCCCCCTCTAGGACCAGCCTTCCTGTGGACAGTCATGCCTCTCTTGGTGACTGGGAGCGCCCTGGCCACAGGTAGCCTGCTCATTGTTGGGCATCTCTGAGTGCTGCGCTGCTCTCCCCTACACTTAGCCAAGTCTTCCCTCTTGGTAACAACTGCCCCACTCATGTCAGTCTTGCTGTCTTGAACCTAAGTCCTTCTCTTACTGCCCACCTCTGCCTCTCTCAAGAAACAGAAGAGCCCAGACCCCCACCACCAGCCTGGCACAATTGACCTTTAGAAATTTGGAGAATAGTAGACCCTGTTTACCCTGAGCTTCCCAAGATGAGGCAGAGGAGGGGGAGGCATCAGCTTTACCATTTTTAGCCCCGACTAGTATCTTACAATATGAGCTCCAAAACCTAACTTACTGAGCCACCCACCGAGCCTCACCTTGTTCCCAGAACACCCCCTTTCTAAATTGAGGCATTGTTTCCTGGGGGCTACTTTTAAAATGCCTGCATTAAGTGGGAAGGTAGGAGGGACCAGGCAGAAGGCATTTATCATCAGCAGATTTAATAGCTCTCAAAACTGTTATTGAGAGGGCAGGTTAGATGAACCATTTGGAAGCAGATTCTGGAGTCACTTTGAAAATTAGGTAGGGGACATTTGGATGGGAGATGGTGATGCAGTTCAGGATTTGGAAAGTTTGGCCCAATAGAGGGGTCTGGAGTCTTGCTGCTCAATGTGTGAGTAGTGGTTTCACCTGGGAGCTCCTTAGAAACGTAGACTCTCAGATCCCCATCTTTGAGAAGATGCCTAGGAGATGCAGAGACTCAGGAAACTCTGAGAACCTTCACTGCTCCAGGGACGACTGAGGGCACCTTTCTTGATGGGAATTCCCCACTGCTGTGTGACTTGCCCGTGTCTTCTTTCTCCAGCATACCAGGCGGCTTTGTCCCTGGGCCAGGACCCATCCAATGACTGTAATGACAGCCAGCGGGAGGTTCGCATCGTGGCCCAGCGGCGGGGGCAGAGTGAACCTGTGCTGGGGGTGGATTACCGGCAGCGCAAGATCACCATCCAGAATCGTGAGTTTAGAGGCAGCTGGGGACTGGGGGTGGAGACCAGGCCCAGCGGGCTGAGTCATTGTGGGGATTTCCCTTTTCTTCTGTTGCTTGATGGTCTACTTGGTCACTTTCATTTTTTAAGGAAAGCGCCAAATGCACAGAATGTGCTGCTCCATCTGAAGTCACTGCCCTGGAAGTTGGGCTCAGACAAGAGGACAGCCTACAGCTTTAGCTAAAGGTCTGGGAGTGGGTGTTTTCCTTCACTGTCCTGAGATTCATGGCTAACGTGTGGCTCAGGCTCCCTTGATTCCTTCCACAAAGTGCTCTCGAGGCCTGCTCAAACCCCAGATGCCCGAATTCCCCTCTGGCTACCCCTGTTTCCCAAATCTATGGAGTGGGGGTTTTTAAGTAGATGGCCACTTATGGGACCCTTGCCCTCCACTGGTGGAGGAAAGAGCACTGGGTGTAGAACCAAAAGACGGGGTGGTGATCCCATACTTCCACCCCCTTGCTTAGTGACCTATTCTTTTTCTCTGGCCTCTGTTATCAAATTTGAAAGATGGGCATAATGGTCTCTGTCTCCCCACACTGAAGTAAACATCAAATATGATATCTGAAAGCTATGTCTAAAGCATATGCATTCTTTGTGGGAGTACAAGGAGTAGACTCAGGTGTCAGACTCAGGTGTAGGTCCCTGTTCTGTACTCACAGGGGTTGTGAACTTGGGCAAGTCCCTTTCATGTTTTAAGCCTCAATTTCTGTAAGGTGGGACTTGCCATAGTACTTGTCTGTGGAGAGTTGTCAGGGTTAAGTGAGTTGATATGTATAAAGCACTTAGCAAACCACATAAGTGTGCAGTGAACTTTAGTTTTGACCACTCAGCACACCTGTGAATGAAGGATCAGAGCCCCACATTCCTGGGGGGAATGGATTCCACATCCGATGGATTATTGGCACAGAATTCAGAGCCTATTTCAATGAGCTTTATGTATAGTGTTAAATAAATATTGACTGGTTAAAAGTGGGGGGAAAAAAGTAGGAGAATACACCTAGCAGGCTACTCAGGGTACCCATAGCAACAATGTGAAGAAATCAGTGAATATTCTATGACTGTTTGTAGGTAGATCAACCTAGTTTAAAAATTGCTTCCAACTTTGTATATAATACTTTGGCTGCTATATGTAAATCTAATCTGTTTATATTCAACCTCTGACCTTCCCAAATCAGCCCTTGAGAGTTCAACCTTAGGGAACATCTGTCCTTTTCCAGTTTCTAGGTGCATCCTCAGAGGTTCAGGGTGACTACTTTTTCCAGAGCCCAGAAACTTAACTCTGATATGACCCCAAAGTTTAAAGTCTCCTTTACAGTTTTTGAAGGACAAAAGTCCCCATAGATGATAGTGTCTGATTTTCTATCTTTGTCTTTTTCTTTTTCTTTCTAAATGAATAACACTGTCTACTACCCCTACTCCCAACCACCTTTGGGTCAAAGTCCACCTCCTTATTCCCATGGGAAAGTGGTATTTCACCTTGGTTTTAATTTCTATCTCCAGGATTGTTGTGATTTCTTGGAGCCCTTGTTTTCTGAAATTTTTATGCCTGTGTTTGCATCATTTGAGAAGACCCTGTCAAATCAGTTCTTGGATCGTTTGAAATATTAACATATCTGAATGTCCTCATTAATCTGACATCCCTGAGATAATCTTCATCTCTAGTAAAATTGGGGGAGGTTTATAATACACATTAACCTTGGAGGGGGAATTTCCTCCAAAGCACTTTCACCATTTTTCCAAGTCTGGGGTAAGCTTGTTTCTGGGAAAGGCAGCAGGTTGGAAAATCATGAGTAGGAAAAAAAAAGCATAGGGATTGACGTAGAAAGAGAAGGAAAGAGAAGTCAAAGTTAGCTCCAGTGGTGCATGACCTTGCATGTTTGTTTCATTTCCTCAATAAATATTTCTTGACAAACAGATAAAAAAGAATCGCAACTATGACTGCCAAGTAAGCAGGAGCAAATCTATAACTAAGGTCTTTAAGAATTTGAAGGTGTCCTCTGGTACTTTGTGTGACTTGAAGTAGCTTGGACATGGGGGTTACCCTGATGTCTCTGACTGGACGTTAAGCCCTTTTAGGACAAACATAGCACAGGTCTTGTTTGATCTTCCACAGAGTCTGACATAGTGCTGGACCCACAGAAGGTCTTTAGAGAACATTTGCATTTATTAAATGTGAACATAACCTTCATCTATTGTAATGGGGTAGATACTTTGTGCTCACAAAAACTCTTTCTTTTCTTGAGTAACACTTACTCTGAAAATATTGGCATTTCATCCTTACTTATTCCTCAAGTTCATCTCAACTGTCCCATCAAGATTCAGAAGTGTATGTTCACAGCTGGTGAGGAACCCAAGCTGTGGATTTTCCTACCCAGTTTGGAAAAGACATTAGAGCTTGGTGGTTGAGGGCACCAGCTTTGAGGCAAGACTTAAGTTTGAACCTACCTCTGTTACCTCTCTCTGTTCTAGTTTCCTTTAGTCTTAGTTTCCTCATCTGATATGCAGCTAATAATCCTACCCATTGTATTAGGATTAAATTTGATTGCGAGTAAGCAAAAGCCCAAAATATTAGTGACGTAAACAATAAAAAGTTAATTTCTTCCTTGGTGGCTCAGTGGTAAAGAACCTGCCTGCTAATGTAGGAGACGCCAGAGACTCAGGTTTGGTCCCTGGGGTCAGGAAGATCCCCTAGAAGAGGAAATGGCAACCCAGTCTAATATTCTTGCCTGGAAAATTCCATGGACAGAGGAGCCTGATGGGCTACAGTCTATGGGGTCACAGAGAGTCAGACATGACTGAGCAACTGAGCATGCACACATACAGGTATAAATTTGGGGCTAGACAGACCAGAACTAGTGTGGTGGCTCTGTTCCATTAATTCCTCAGGAACCCAAGCTCCTTCCTGCTAAGAATGTCATCTCTTTCCTCACGGTCCAAGATGGCAGCCATCACATTTGCTTTCCAGATAACAGAGTGGAGGAAGAAATGAAGAAGAAAAGAGCAAAGGCGTTCCCAAACTGTTTTCAAGAAGGTTCCTGAGAGCCATAACGTGACACTTCTGTTTATATTCTGTCCACCAGAACCGAGTCACATGTCCATGTGCATCTGTAAGAGAGGATGACAATTAGTGACTTTATTCTGGATAGCTATGTATTGATACATGATCAAAAATTCTATGACCATGAGAGAAAAGGAGAATAGACATTGGGAGGTAGCTGGTAACCTCTACCTCACCCATTTAGAGAGTTGTGGAAGGAAGGAAGTGGGGTGATGTATCCTAACTCCTTTCAGGGTACCTGGTAGAGCTCACTAAGTGGTCAGTTTTATCACCTTTATACTGTTCGGAGAAAGAAGAGACTCTCAAAGGAAGGAATAGAGGCCTTTCTCTAACTACGAGAGGCCCTTTTAGGATGTGGAAGTATAATGCTGGGGACCTGAAGCTGCCAGAAGTCAGAAACCCATGCCCTCTCCTTTCATTGCTGGCACCTTCCCCTCCCTCACTGCAGGAGCAGATCTGGTGATTAATGAAGTGATGTGGTGGGACCATGGAGTGTATTACTGCACCATTGAGGCCCCAGGGGACACGTCAGGAGACCCAGATAAGGAAGTGAAGCTCATCGTCCTGCGTAAGTGCTCTTGGAGATTTCTATTTGGCCACCCCCACTGTGACACTTTTACATACAGGAAAAAAAAAAAAATCAGAAACAAGCAAACCTAGGTTATTGTGGTTGGTAGCCAGCCTCTGAAGTTACCTTGCCAAAGCTAAATTTTTAATTTTGCGTGTATATTGCTCAACCTTAACCTATAGGTCAAGAGCTGTGTAGATCAGACCTTTAGTATGTTACAAGCTAAAGCATGCCCCTGCAGATTTAGTTCAACCCTTGCTTGGCGTCCCCCCTGCAGACTGGCTGACCGTGATCTTCATTGTCCTGGGAGCCCTCCTCCTGCTCCTGCTGATTGGAGTGTGCTGGTGCCAGTGCTGTCCCCAGTACTGCTGCTGCTACCTCCGCTGCCCCTGCTGTCCCAACCGCTGCTGCTGCCCCCAGGAAGGTGAGAGGGGACGGATGAGCAGTGGGATGGGGCAGTATGGAAGCCTGGTGCCCCAGACTTATCAGTTTCATGTGACCACGTCAAAACCTTGCATTCTCTCAGGTTCTTCTCCATGCCCTTCTCATCACAGGCTCAGATTTCTTTGGCCTCAGTTCAGAAAATGAGGCTTAGGGAAGCCATAGAGCCAGGCGGGAAGACTTATGCCTATTCACCTTCTAGACTGCCTAAGGCCCCCTTCAGATGGGTCTGCCCACTGGTGTCCTTTCCTCAGCAGCCCTGATAGGCCTGTGCTCCAGTATTTGCCCCCAACTCTGACCTTGCTTGGACATGAGGTGGCTGGAGGGAGTGGTTTGCATGGAACAGTGAGAGAAGGCCACTTCCTAGAGATGACTTGAAAAGAACAGATCAGAAGAGAGAGAGGTGTTGGAGCAGGGGTCCTTAAACTTAAGAATCTCCTGGAGGGCTTGTTAAAACTTGGTTGCCAGCTCTATCTTCGGAGTTTCTGATTTAATTGGTCTTGGGTGTGCCTGAGGATTTTTATTTCTCAGGAGTTCAAAGGTCAAAAGTTCACACTGCTGGTCTAGGGGCCACACTTGTCTCTGTTTTAGACAAAGCAAAGAGAAGGCAGAAGATCTTGCTCTAATAGTGATCTTTCTTTGGGCTTGAATTTGGCCTTTTATTAATAAAACAGAATTATGACATGCCCTAAAACATTTGGTGAAGACAAAAGAAGAAAGATTATTCTACAAAGATCTTTTCTTACTAAATGGATGGAGCCAGAATCAGCAGCTTTAAAGGAAGGATTTTTTTGTGTGTTTTTAAAGTAGCATTTCCTTTTCCTGGTGGTATAAGTAAAGTATTACCTTGTAGAAAATTTGAGAAATTCAGGAAAATAAAAAAACTTATCTGAGCACCCAGATATAACCACTGTTATCATTTTGGTCCATTTGAAGGATATTAAAAGAAACCCAGAAACTGGCTCTTAAGATAGAAACAAAACCTAATCTATAATGTCAAGAAGGTCAATGGTCTGAGTCTGCTTTCAGGCCTGTGTTCTGAGGTTGCTGTCTTACAGGAAAAGAGAACTAACTTTTATTGGATGTCTGGTGTGTGGGGCCTTTGCATATATTTCCCTTTTGAATCCTCACAACCCTAGAAGGCAGCTATCATTGTTATTTAACAATGAGGAGACTGAAGGTCAGAGGAGTCACACAAGGTAAGTAGCAGAAACAATACGGTGTTGCATTCATACTCATCTGACTTACAGTACATGAATTTCCCACAACAGAGGCTGCCACAACCTGTCTCTGTAGATTGCTATGGGATTGGCTGAGATGCCAATAAGCTGCTTCAAGAGATGAGAAATAGCAGAGAACTTGATATTGGGCCATGGAGCTCCTTGCCTTTCTATCCCTCCTCTGGGAAGGAGGTCATGTAGGAGTCACTGCCCCCGGTGCTGTAATATGAAGATTGAGATGAGAGAAACTCTCCCAAGATACTTTCTTGGAATCCCTAAGTCTGTGGGGCACTCAAAACAGGCAGGGGCTAGGGACACAGTCAGCACCAGCGATAAATGTGTCCACTGTCCGTAAGCTGATTAACAGGTTCTGGGAGAAAATGGTTTCTCCCAAGTGGTTAGATTTCATTTAGAAGAACTGGTGAGATAAGGAAATGTGGGCCACAAAGAAAGATCCTTGAACCTGAGCAGATGAGGTCACTTTCAAAGTGAGTCACCTGGGGAGTCTGTCCTGAGAAATTTGGTGACAAGAGGAGATTACATGGAGGGGGCAGGACTTGTCAAGTTAAACTCTTGGATGGGGAAGAGAGTGGATGTGATTGTCGATTTTTTTTTTTTTTTAAATAAGCTAACCCTAAGCATACTTGGAGAACCAAGGCCAGTAGAAAGAAAGAGAAAGGAAGCATTGCGAAGTGAGGCAGTGACTGAGGAGGGATGGAGTCAGTGGGAGTGACATCAGGCTTACAATGAAAGGACTACATTTAGAGAGGGAAGGAAAAGGAAGCCTGCCCTCTGAAGAGAGAGAGGAAGTTGTTAACACAAGGAATATGATTAAAGCATAAGGGAAGAAGCTGGGGGAGTGAGTTGACACCAGCCTGTCTTGATTTCAGCAAATCAAAAGTCTAAACGCAAAAGGCAGCTTCAAGAACAATGTCAGTAATTCTGGAGCTTCTGTGACCACAGCCCACCCCCAAAATCTGCTCCCACTTTCCAGGGAGAGTTAATAGAGGGCCAGGGAGGAGAAAAACAAAAATGACACCAAAGTTTAGTAACCCCACTTCAGCTGAGGGAAGTGGGGCCTAGACAGAGATTTCCACAATTACACACAGATTGTTAGTGGTAAGCCTTGGACTAGACCTAGGTCTCTTGATTCCATGTCCAGGACTGGTTCCTCTTCCTTAACAAAGACATGTCATCAGCTGAAAGTTCATATGGAGGGGAAGACATGAGAAGTGGGGAATGTTTAAACTGCCGCTCTAGAGGAGGGAAGCAGGGCTGCTGGATCAGTCAAGGAGATCTACGCATGTTGGAAAAAGGGCTATTTGTGGTTGGTTGCCTGACAGTGGAGCCATCGTGGGCCCAGGAAGCATGGACTGCTGATTCCTGAAAGCTGAAATGGCAAGGCTTCAAGGGGTGTGAGATTCTAGGATGCTTCTGAGGATGTCCCTGAAAGGACTGCCAGTCAAATCAGTATGCTATGTATACTGCCAGTATATATAAAAAAGAAAAAGGACTGTGTGACCTATGGGTCAGGGAGGGCGAAGAACACTCTGTAAGAGTAGAAAGGGGGTGGTAAGGAATGGAAAGAAGTTGGAGGTCCTCAGGGTGATTCAGGCACCATGGGTGTTTCACAATCACCCATGCTGGCTGTGGGTCTCTGGTGGAAGGGAGGTGTTGAGCATTATTTCTGTCACAAAGGGTCATCTTAAAGTACATGCCCTGGGTTTTCCTCCGAAATGAAAATGAATATGCTTTTCATGGTTTAGCCTCCAAATGTGTACTTTTTGCCTTCTATGGGATCTAAGGTGAAAGTAGTGACTTATATTAACCATTTATTATAACAACATGAGCCACCACCCATTGAATATTTGCCAGTATTAGACATTTCATATGTATTACCTCATTTAACTGCAACAACTTTATGACATAGGTATTATTATCCCTGGGGCTTCCCCGGTGGCTCAGATAGTAAAGAATCTGCCTGCAATGCAGGAGACCTGGGTTTGATCACTGGGTCAGGAAGAATCCCTGGAGGAGGAAATGGCAACCCACTCTAGTATTCTTGCCTGGAGAATTCCCTGGACAGAGTTGCCTATCAGGCTACAGTCCATGGGGTTGCAAATCAGTCAGACATGACTGAGTAGCTAACACTTTCACTTCACTACTTATTATCCCCAGCTCAGAAATGAGGGGGTTGAGCTAACATACTGTGGAGACTCAATCAAAATTACACAGCTAATATATGCTGGGATTCCAGTTGAAGTCCCTGTGATTCTTAAAGCCTGCATTTAAGGAAACCTATCCCTGAGGACCATAATTCTCAGGACGTTGTTGAGAGTTGTTGACAATCCATAATAGTCAACTCCAACTCCTGCCTTAAAGTCAGGGAGCTTGTTGAAAACATGGATTTTCTCACCTTGCATGTGACTGAAGGTCAGTATGGGAGTGGGATCCAGGGGTCTGTATGTTTAACTATCTCATTAAAGGTGACCAAGACAGATTTTACACCACTGAGGTTCAGAGATAACTTACTAGGAGTCATTTAAGGCTTTGTTAATTTCTCCATGTTTCTTATTTTATTGCCTGATTCCCCATTAGGTGAGCAACAGAAAGCCTGATAGTCTAGACTTCCCCATCGAGCTATTTTTAGGGACAGTAGGGCAAGGTAGAAGTTCAGAGACTGTATTTTTTCACTCCAGTGAGTTAGGGAAGGGAGGGACCCTAGAAAGAGGTGGTGGCAGTTAAGAAGGAAGCAGGTGGGTTAATCTTGGGAATGTATGAAGATTTGACAGGATGCCTGATGCAAGATCCAGAAAAGTCTCTAGGAGGTCACCTCTGCAAGAAAGTGAAAGTGAAGTCGCTCAGTCGTGTCCGACTCTTTGCGACCCTGTGGACTGTAGCCTACCAGGCTCCTCCATCCATGGGATTCTCCAGGCAAGAATACTGGAGTGGGTTACCATTTCCTTCTCCAGGGTATCTTCCCAACCCAGGGATCTAACCCAGGTCTCCCACATTGCAGGCAGACACTTTAACCTCTGAGCCACCAGGGAAGCCCTGCAAAGAGTCCCATTAATTAAGAAGTCATTTGGAGAGCAAGAAGGGAAGCCCAACTTTCCTTTTCCCTCCTATTGAATTGGAGGAGCTGAAAAAGGAAGTGGCCCAAAGGGGGAACAGTATCATGGGGAGGAGATCAAGATTCAGTTAAGAGGGGTAGGAGGCAGTGAAGGTTGTTCCTAATTGGATCAGATGTCCTGAGGCCCTGGAAGCAGAGATTAGGCTGGAGTGAGTTTTGAAAGGTGTGGTGCTGAGGAGAAAAAAATAATGTGAGAAGGTACTGCTGGGAAAGGGTTTTTTGGGGGTTTTTTTTTTTTTTTTGCTTTATCACATAAAGGAGTCTGGGGACTCTGCCGTTTGGCAGAAAGAATAGAGGCTTGACAGACAGACATAGGGTCACACACTGCCTCTACTGGTTGGTCAGCAGCTGTGGAATTTTGGACTGGGAAGGTAACCTCTCTAACTTTCTCATCTGATGCTCACATTTAAGAGATTTCTCTGAGGATTAGTTAACTCATGTAAAGTGACTGGTCCATATTAAGGAGGGCATTGTATGTGCTGAAGGTGGCATGTTATACAGAATTGGGGGAGGCACATGTTAGCAAGAGGGAGAGGAAAGTGCTGAGTAGTTGAACTTGTCTTCAGAGGGTCTGGTGTGCTGTCCTTAGCCATGAAGGTGTAGCAGATGGGTGAGCTGATCTAAGTTTGCATCTGACTTCCTCCAGGCTGGGCTGTGACTCACCATCAGGGCCGGAGCTCCAAACAGGTATGGGGGCTCGGCTACAACCACTTCTTGTTGTGTTGGAAGTTGGTTTTATACTGGAGCCATTGGATAGCCTTCCAGATGACCCTTAGCTGCTGGCCTCAGTAATCCCCCACCCTATGCTGGGTCCAGAATGACTGCCTTTGGCCTCCTTCTACTGCGGTAAGAGGAAGCTCTGGCAGAGCTCTGTGGCTTTAGGGGCATTCAAAGGGTTGGGGAGCCCAGAAAAAGATGAGAGTACCATGCTGGGGTACTTAAGCACTTAAGTGCACTTGTGTGCACTTAAGCACACAAGTGGATAGATATGGGACTGTTTTACATGCATGTATACACAGGGACCTTGGGAGACATGTGCACTCAGTCACAAAATAGAAACACATGAGCAAAACAACTAAATGCATTTGTTTTTAATTTGTACGTGCTGTGGGTTGTATGCTTCAGATCAGCTGCAGAGGGGACTGGAGAAACATTTCTATGGACTCTTGGGCTGCTTTTTTAATACTATTTGCCCTGAAAGGAAATGGTATTTCCCTTCTCTCTTCTCTGCCTCTACCCCACCCATTAGAGATTCCCCCTACTTAGGGAAAACCCCAACATTTAATAAAGTGAGGAGAAGCGTGGAAAGGATCTACTTCAGCTTTTTGCATTCTCTGCCTTCTTCCCCGTGGTTTTCTCCCACCCAGGGCTGGCATTACCAGCTGGAAACATTCATCAGTCCCTTTCCCTTTACCAGTAATTCTGCCCATTGACCTCAGCATCTGTGTCCTTTCTTTCCACTCTGAGCAGGTGATCCACCCAAGAAGCCCCTGACTCACTGCCTCCTGTAAGCCCTTTGCATCTGTGCCTTCTATGTTTGGCCTATAGCCTGAGATTTCACTGCCTGCTAAGATCTACATTTCTACCTATACATTTTAGGTGACCTTGGAAATTGGCAGGACGATGAAATGATTTCAAGACTAGGAAGTCAAGTTTCAGGAGGATATTTCCTAGGGTGCAAGAACTGCAGTCTTGCCAGGGAATTTATTCCCAGCGTTTTGACAGAGGAACAGTGGATTCACTACTTCCCTTAACTCTTCCACCCATATAAGAAAGGACACAGTAAACTTCAAGGAGAGAAAGTGGCCTCTTGGCAAGGATGGGGGTTGGAGAGAAGTGAAGTGGGACGTGTGGGCCTTGCCCTGGCTCAGGGTCTGCGTTTCTCCCTTTTCCTCTGCAGCCGTAGCCCGCCACCGCTACATGAAGCAGGCTCAGGCCCTAGGCTCTCAGATGATGGAAAAACCCCTGTACTGGGGGGCGGACAGGAGCTCCCAGTTTTCTTCTTATCCAGTGAACCCACTGCTGCAGCGAGGTAAACCCTGCCAGAGATTTGGGGTGGGAGATGGTAAAGGGCAAGGGTAAGAGCATGGGCTGCACTGGGGCCTTCATGACCGGTGGAGGACGGGAAGGTGTAGATTCATGCTAAATAAGGCGGCACTTGAGGGCCCTAATTCTGAGGAGTGTGTTCTGGGCGAGCAGTTCTGCATGTTCTTATTCTTATTTTCATTCAGATTTGTCCCTGCGATCCAGCCTCCCCGAGGTGCCAGTGACCCAGGCAATCGCTCACCCTCCCATCCCCAGTGGTGTCCTAGAGTATTTGGAGAAGGAGCTGCGGAACCTCAACCCAGCCCAGCCTCTGCCGCCTGACCTCCAGGCCATATCTGGCCACCCCTGCAGCATCCTGTCCTCCCTGGGCTCTGAGGTTGTGGAACGCAGAGTTATCCACCTGCCTCCCCTGGTCAGAGACCTGCCAGCTTCACGGAGGACCAGCAGCTCCTCCCGCCAGCAGTGGCTCCCCACACCACCATCTCCCCCTAGACCCTGGGATCTGAGGGAGGGGAGAAGGCAGCACCGCTACTCTGATTTCCACCAGGAGCTCCGGGATCCTGAGGCTCAGTGCTGGGAGTTGGAGCAAAGGGAGCTGGACCGACTGCGGCGTGGGAGGCACCGTGGCTCCAGGCATCGCTGGTCACCCAGGCCCTGGTCGGACAGGGACAGCCTCAGCGACGGCGATGGCCCCTCATCCAGTGAGGCCCACTGGCGGCCCCACCGCCCCCCGCTCTGGAGCCACTACCCAGAGAGAGATCCCCGCAGGCCCAGCCCCAAGGAAAGCGCTCAGGGGCACCGGAGGCGCAGGACCCGCAGCTACTCCCCTCCCCTGGCCTCTGGCCTCAGTTCCTGGAGCTCCGAGGAGGAGAAGGAGAGGCAGCCCCAGAGTTGGGGGACCCGCTGCCATCGTCACTCATGCTCCCCAAACTGGCCTGAGGAGAAGCCACCCAGCTACCGCTCGCTGGATGTCAGCTCAGGCAAGAATGGCAAGAAAAAAGGGAGTGTGAAGAGGCGCTTGGTGAGCCTGGGGCTTCCTGCTAAGGGTCGGGAGTGGGCAATAGGACTCTTATCCAGGCAGACACAGGCCACCTCATATTCCTCTGTGGAGGGCCCCAGTCCCTGTTTGGCTCCGCTTGCCCTCTGGGCTCCGTGAGACACCTCTTGTAGAGTTGGAAGGAACTATGAGTGCTCAGGGCAAGCTTGATGCTTCAGGAGGGGCTTCTCGCCCCCAGCCTGGCTCCAAACCTCATCACAGTTCCCCGAGGCCAGCTGGGCAGGGTCCCCCCATTTCACAGGTGAGGAAACCAGGCTCAAAGTAATTAAGTACCTTGTGAGTGGTGGAGCTAGGACTCCAGGGCAAGCCTTCAGGCTAAATCTTTACATCCTGTCATAGCTGCCTTGCTTTCAGTTCAGTTCAGTTCAGTCGCTCCGTTGTGTCTGATTCTTTGTGACCCCATGAATCACAGCACGCCAGGCCTCCCTGTCCATCACCAACTCCCAGAGTTTACTCAAACCTATGTCCATCGAGTTGGTGATGCCATCCAGCCATCTCATCCTCTGTCGTCCCCTTCTCCTCCTGCCCCCAATCCCTCCCAGCATCAGGGTCTTTTCCAATGAGTCAACTCTTCGCATGAGGTAGCCAAAATGTTGGAGTTTCAGCTTCAGCATCAGTCCTTCCAATGAACACCCAGGACTGATCTCCTTTAGGATGGACTGGTTGGATCTCCTTGCAGTCCAAGGGACTCTCAAGAGTCTTCTCCAACACACCACAGTTCAAAAGCATCAATTTTTCGGCGCTCAGCTTTCTTCACAGTCCAACTCTCACATCCATACATGACCACTGGAAAAACCATAGCCTTAACTAGACAGACCTTTGTTGGCAAAGTAATGTCTCTGCTTTTTAATATGCTATGTAGGTTGGTCGTAACTTTCCTTCCAAGGAGTAAGCGTCTTTTAATTTCATGGTTGAAGTCACCATGCAGTGATTTTGGAGCCCCCCCAAAATAAAGTCAGCCACTCTTTCCAGTGTTTCCCCATCTATTTCCCATGAAGTGATGGGACTGGATGCCATGATCTTAGTTTTCTGAATGTTGAGCTTTAAGCCAACTTTTTTACTCTCCTCTTTCACTTTCATCAAGAGGTTTTTTAGTTCTTCTTCACTTTCGGCCATAAGGGTGGTGTCATCTGCATGTCTGAGGTTATTGATATTTCTCCCGGCAATCTTGATTCCAGTTTGTGCTTCCTCCAGCCCAGCATTTCTCATGATGTACTCTGCATATAACTTAAATAAGCAGGGTGACAATATACAGCCTTGACGTACTCCTCCTATTTGGAACCAGTCTGTTGTTCCATGTCCAGTTCTAACTGTTGTTTCCTGAACTGTACACAGGTTTCTCAAGAAGCAGGTCAGGTGGTCTGGTATTCCCATCTCTTTCAGAATTTTCCAATTTATTGTGATTCACACAGTCAAAGGCTTTGGCATAGTCAATAAAGCAGAAATAAGTGCTTTTCTGGAACTCTCTTGCTTTTTCAATGATCCAGCAGATGTTGGCAATTTGATCTCTGGTTCCTCTGCCTTTTCTAAAACCAGCTTGAACATCTGGAAGTTCACAGTTCACGTATTGCTGAAGCCTGGCTTGGAGAATTTTGAGCATTACTTTACTAGCGTGTGTGATTTGAGTGCAATTGTGCCGTAGTTTGAGCATTCTTTGGGATTGCCTTTCTTAGCAATTGGAATGAAAACTGACCTTTTCCAGTCCTGTGGCCACTGCTGAGTTTTCCAAATTTGCTGGCATGTTGAGTGCAGCACTTTCACAGTATCATCTTTCAGGATTTGAAATAGCTCAACAGCAACAATTTCCATTCCCCAAATTAGAACAGTGGGCCTGACAGTGTGCAAGGGCCTGTTGTATTTGAGGATGCAGCCCTTTGAGACCCCTCTGGAAAGTATCATTACAATAATTTAGAAACAGACCCAAAACAAAACAAAAAAACCTGATATCCCAAATATGGGTCAAAACTTTAGGATTCTGTGAATAGGCAAGGTGCCAATGTCAGAGCCTGAAAGGGGCACAAAAGGAAGTAGGCTTTTTAATGCCTCTGAATATAGACCCTTTTCCACTGTAAGATCCAGAGAAGGCAATGGCAACCCACTCCAGTACTCTTGCCTGGAAAATCCCATGGACAAAGGAGCCTGGTAGGCTGCAGTCCATGGGGTCGCGAAGAGTCGGACATGACTGAGCAACTTCACTTTCACTTTTCATTTTCATGCATTGGAGAAGGAAATGGCAAGCCACTCCAGTGTTCTTGCCTGGAGAATCCCAGGGACGGGGGAGCCTGGTGGGCTGCCGTCTATGCGGTCGCAGAGTCTGACATGACTGAAGCCACTTAGCAGCAGCAGCAGCAGCAGCCATTATAAGTTGTGACTTTAAAGAGTCATCTTATAATTAATATTCCCTGATGATAGTATTCCTTCTATGTTGTCTCTTTGCAAATTATGCTGGTTGTTGCTTAAAAATATTCATGAATTGCCTTCAGAACCAACTTACAAGCTACCCACAAAAATCTATTTCTCTATTCATTCAAAATTCTTTATCTGTTTTGTTTCTGTTGAGATAAAGGGATACGGAGCAGGTTGTGAGGGAGATTCTCAGAGTAGACAGATATTAGAGGAACAAGAATTTTAATCTCTCATGCACTTTGATGCAACTCTTATTTGAAAATGCAGGTTCTGCTGTGCCTTGCTTTAAAATCAGTCATCTGCATGGTGTGTGCAAAGTAACAGCCACCTTGTGAGCGCCTTAGTGCTGGTCTTTCTAGGGAAGAACCTTGGTGAAAGAGTAATTTGTGAGGAAGATAGTGAAGGACCACAGGCATTTCTGAAATAATCGATGGCAATTATATTCTCACAGATGTCCCATGAGAGAGGCAAAGAGTAATAATGAAACTTAGTAGTATCCTTACTAAGTGGCACTGAGCTATGGACATTTATGCAGTGTTTCATTTAATCCTTTCAACACCCTGTTCGTTTACAGTGGATACAACTCTTCCATGTTACCAGTAAGAAACTTACATCCTGAAGGAAAATACAAAATCAATCAGAATCAAGACAATCACTGTTACTTTGGTCATGTGGTTACTAGATGGTCTCTTACCTTCACTGTAACAGAGAAAAAATTAAAAGTCAGCTTCAAATCCAAATCCTATTTTCTTCTAAGTTAAAGAAGAAATTTAAATTTTCCTTTATTTTCTCCTAAATTATATGGTTTCTTGTAAGTGAAAGAAGGGTAAAGTGGGGTACCAGTTATGTTCTGGATATTGGGATAAGCCATTTCTAAGTCTTATTTTACTTAATCCTTCAAACCACACTGTGAGGCTTAGTGAGGTTAAGTAACATGCTCAAGGTCACACAGCCAAGACGGAGTGAAACCAAAATTTGAACAAAGCCCTCTAACTCTCAAGCCTGTGCTCTTTTCAATAACTCATGCTGCCTAATTAGAAGAAAATCTGTGGGGCAATGTTTTCTTTTGACTTTTGTTTCTTCCTTATTTTCTGAAGGTATTATAGCTTCCTTTATAGTACATCTTCCTTTATAGTACACCTTTCATTAAGGTGTACACACAATAATTCTATCACAAGCAAACCAGATTTTCAATTGTAAAGTTGCTTGTGAGAGGAAAAGTCACTCAAGATAATTCTAAAGGCCTTCATTATTTTGGATATCTCTGAGCTTATCCCCAAAAGAGTTATCACGTTAATTTATCACATTCAACTGTCCACTCATATTCTGAATGACCAGAGGCCCAGGACCAAAGCTTGATTAGGAAGGGTGATTGGTTTAGAGGGCACCGTGTTTTGTTTATAACTTGAATTTTGAATGCTTTTGTTGTTGTTATTTAGTAAGTTGTATCTGACTCTTTTGTGACCCCATGGACTATAGCCCACTAGGCTCTTTTATCCATGGGATTTCCCAGGCAAGAATACTGGAATGGGTTGCCATTTCCTTCTGCAGGGGATCTTCCTCAACCAGGGAGTGAATCTGTGACTCCTACCTTAGTAGGTGGGGTCTTTACTCCTGAGCTGCCAGGGAAAGCCCCTTGAATGCCTTTAATGGGGCCAAAATTTCATTCTTTGCTCCTCTCCTTGATGGGGCTGGAGGCTTTCAATACACCATCTAACCTTTAAAGTCTTTGGAGCTTGCAGCTAATTTTAGAAGTTATAATATATTTGGGCCACTAGATGGTGATCTTTAATTATGTGTAACTCGAAGTTTCTCTACTCAGGTTGATAAAATGTATCACTATTTTCTTAAGATTTTTAAAAAAAGATTTATTTATGGCCATGCAGGCTCTAGGTTCTTGTGCTACTCTCTATTGTGGTGCCTGGGCTACTTGTGGCTTCCCTTGTTATGGAGCACCAGCTCTAGGGTACATGGGCTCAGTACTTGGAGCACATGGGCTCTAGAACACAGGCTCAGTAATGGTGGCTTGCTTGCCCCATGGCATGTGGGATCTTCCCAGACCAGGGATTGAACCCACATCCCCTGCATTGGCAGGTGGCTTCTCAACCACTGGACCACCGGGAAAGCCCTCAGGCTTTCAGCAGGTACAACTTTACCATAACTTTTTACAAAATACTTATTATTAAGAATATTAAATATTCAGATGCTTTAGTAGCTGATTTTCTGATGCCTGATCCCCAGGCTGGGGAGCCTGACATGGGGCTCAGAACACTCACTCCTGTGGGAGAACTTCTGCAATATAACTATTCTCCAATTTGTGGTTCACCCACCTGGGGGGTATGGGATTTGATTATATTGCAAGTCTGCCCCTCCTACCTGTCTCACTGTAGTTCTTTATGTGTTTGGTTGCAGGAGATATTTTCTTACAGGTTCCAGTTTTTTTTCCTTTTTTTTTTTTAGTTTTTTTTCTTATCGATGGTTATTCTGGAAATAGTTGTAATTTTGGTGTGCTGATGAGAGGTGTGCTCAGGGCCTTTCTACTCTGCCAGTTTGGCCACTCTCTCCCACCCCACATCATTTTGATTAGAAACCATGCCCCCTAAAACTTATTTTCTTGATAAAATGGAAACATACAAAATTTTTGAAGCAACAGGAATGTGGTACATACATGTACATTTTGAACAGTGTGTTTTGAGACAGATACGTTGCCATTCCAACAAGAAAGGTCACATTCATTGATGACAGCTATAGATATTCAAAACAGGAGTAAAAATAATCTCCGGTACATAGAGAAATATGAGAAATGAAAACCACATTCTTTGAAGCCCTCATAGCACAAGATGAAAATGCCAAAAGATCGAGTGGATAACTTCTGAAGAAAAGTCACTGAGCTTGGTCAGCAAGAGGTAATTAGTGATCTGAAAAAATAACTTCAGAGAAATACCATGGTATGAAACTGAACTTTTTAGACAAGGGTTGAGAACAAATGGTTCAGGAGAACATAAATAGAGAAAAGAGAACTGGGCCATGTCTTCATGAACAAATTGATAGAGAGAGGTGCTGATGAATGAACAGGGTATCTCTTTTTCAAGAGATTTAAAGATGTTAAAAATCAGTAAGAGGCAGAGTGAATGAGTTTTCAGAAGTTAAAGGTGGTTGAGCGAGGCTCAGAAAGGTAGAAAATCAAGAAACCAAAGCCAGGGGGAGAAACTGGCTTCATGAAGAGTTAAGAAGTAATGTTTTAGATTCAGAGCTGCTGTCCCAGCAGCCACCACTCACTGAGGATTTGTACCCGAATCAAGCCCATTTGTGTATTGTATACATAGACAATAGAGCACAGCTGACTGGATTTTTGTGTTCTTATATTCCCCAGGAGAGAGAGAGCTCCCATAGTGGAAGGAGTGTGGTCATTTAGTCACCAGGCACAACACTACTTCTGTGGCGACTTCTCAGCTCCTGTGTGTCAACAGCATCATCTAGATTTCCAGTTGACTTGAGATGGACATTGCAAGTTTGTATCCAACATCTTTGGCTTAGATTCTGAGAATCAGAAGAATTTTATAAACAAAGTTTGAGGAGTTAATGACTGTTGTTTTAACCTTGGTACAAACTGCATATTCAGGTAGTCAGACTTGTAATGAGTCCTAACTGGGACGTGATTCCCTCAGGAACTTACTAACCTGAGTCTTCAACTGGGTCACACTGCTCAGAACTGTGGCCATCTCAAGGTGAGAACTCGGGAATCTTTAAGAGGAAATCAAACATGTCTCAGAGCAAGAAATCTATGGAGTACTATGGGGAAATTTCCATGGAACCTTGTCTCCCTCGATAGCATATCTAGAGGATCCCTTCATGTTATGAGTCCACTTTATTGCCCCCAAGACTGGTCCTAAGTGCCTTTGAGGGTTCACACAGAGATGGCACAGGAAATGTTCCAGCAATGTGCCCTCTCACAGACTATTTATTGCAAGTGTACAAAGTCACAGAGAAGCATTTTTGCGCCAGTTTTATTCCTTTCCTTTGTTTTCTTGCTTTTTTCGCCTGTATCTGTATATTTTTTTATATAGTATGTATCCATTAAAATCACTTTAAATGCTTTTGGGGAATAGCACAGTACATAAATAAATAAGAAGTGAAAGGTACTGGCTTGAGGATTCTGTCCTAGATATCTATTTTGATGCACTTGAAATTAAGCCTTCTCTGACTAAGGCTCAGAGAAGAGCCAGACCAACCCGATAGTTATGGAGCCACCTTCCTTTTGGCACCATTGAGCCTTGCAGGGTGGGGATTTTCCAAGTAAAGGCATCCAGACAGGTTTTGCCACTCGGTGCCCCAGGAAGAAGGATCTGTGCCTCTCAAACAAGCCCTATATCTTTCTCATTTTCCTTAACCCCCTCTGGTGTCTTCATGAATCCATTTGTGCTTCATGTAGAGACTCTCCTTCAGCAGACCATAAGGAGATGTCCTGAGATGAAGTGTCTGTGAATGTATGTGTGTTCCTCAACAGTATCTATGTGTATGGTCTTAAGCTCATTTTAGATCCTTTGGTATTGACATCTATTTTTTCTCCATCCATTTTTCTCATTAATTACATATTGGAGAAAACTGGTTAAATGCCTGCACTGGGCAAGTGTTTCTTTGAGGTTATTTTAATATCCATAATGTAACTGAGTCTAAATTGGCAAAATAGAAAAAAATTAAAATTTTAATAGATAATTCAGTAACTGAGAGACTTCTGGTCTGGACAAGCTGACACAGACCTCTTCTCCTCTGCTCCTCCTCACTAAACACAGCTTTATAAATCCTAGAAATGTTAGAACAGACAGACAAAGAAGAAATCTGAAGAGTGCTAAGAAGAAAGTGAGCTGGTCTGGGAACCCAGGACCAGATGACAACACAGAGGCAGGGCATCTTGCGTCTCCCAGCCAGCAGAAGGCAGCCACCCAGACCTGCTCTTCTTTTCTGACTTCCCTTCTAGCAACAGAAGGTAGTCTAGTAGCCTGTTCTTTCCCCTGGATCTAGTGGGGGCCCTTCTTACAACCTCAGGGAGGGGGACCTGCTGGGAGTCCTGTCAAAAATAAGTGACCACGGGAAGCATTCTCCTTCCCTGCTGAATCAGAGATTCCTCTTTTCTGTGGAGAGATGCTGATGTGGATCGGAGGAACCAGTAAGCAGGTGGCCCAACTGGAGAAGCCTCATTGACCCCAAGGGCCAGAGACTTTCCTCCTCTGCCCGGAGATACAAGGGCTCTCTGGTGGAACCAGGAAAAAGAACCTGTCACAGCTAGCAGCCTTATAGCTAGCAGCTGGGTCCAAGAAATCACTTTATTGTCCTCCCTGCCCAGAGAAACCTGGGTAGCTGGATGTAGGGGGAGGGTTACTAACTGAAGACTTCCCCCACCCCCTCCCTCACCAAGAGGTATCTTGGCAACCCAGCTGGAGGAAATTTCAATCCTCAGGCTGTCACAAAGTCTCTGAAAATGAAACAATTACTGGAATTAGCCCACAAAAGTAGGCTAAGACTCATATGTTAAACCTAAATAGAGTAACTTCCTGTAAAATATTTAAATAGAACCCAGGTTTTCCTAACATAATAGACAAAATGTCCAGGATATAAATCAAGAAACAATAAAATCACAACTTGAATGAATGCCAACACCAAGATGAATCAGATGTTGTAGTTAGTCTGATAAGAATTTAAAGGCAGGCATTACAGAAATGCTACAATAATCAATTGCAAATTCACTAAAGTACAAGTATAAAAAAATCACAGAAAAGAAATAGAAGTTATACAAAAAAAATTATAGAACTGAAAAATAGAAATTAAAGACTGACTAGATGGGCTCACAGTAGAGTAGAGATGAACAACAGAATTCACCCAATATGAATAATAGAAAAGAAATTGGGAAAAAGTGACCAGAGCCTCAGGGACCTCTGGGCTCATAACAAAATAGCCAACATTCATATCACTGGAGTCCAAGAAAGCAGAGGAAAAAGAGGGAAGAATGAATGAACATTTGAAGAAATAATGACTGAAAACTTGCCAAATTTGATGAAAAACATCAACATAGAGATTCAAGAAACTCTAAACAGGATAAATCCCCCAAATCCATGTCAATACACATCATAATTAAACTTTTGAAAACTAAAGACAAAAAATATTGAAAGCAACCAGAGAAAAACAATGAAGTCCCTGTAGGGAAACACCATATGAATGGATTTCTCATGTGAGATCATGAAAAAGGAAATGTCAATATATTTTTTAAGTGCTGAATGAAAAGAACTATTCACTCATAATTTTGTATCTGGCAAAACCAGTTTTTAGAAATAAAGGGAAAATAAAAACATTCACAGATGAATGACAACTAAAAGACTTTGTGACTAGCAGATAAATCCTGGAAAGACTGGATAAAAATTCTTCAAACAGAAAGAAAAGGATAAAAGGAAACTTAAGTATCAGAAAGCAAAAGAAAAAATAGGTTATAAATATGAGTCCATACAACAGACGTTCTTCTGAGTATTAGATAGTATTATAATTTGTTTCATTCATAAAATATGATTTATAAAACCCTAAAGGAAAAAAAAAACACAAAAGAAATGGGAGTTACACAGTGAGTTAACAATAATAGGTAAAGGTGAGGAAGATAAAGAAACCTAACTGGAAGTGAGGTTTCTATACTTCATTTTAAGTAGTAAACACTGTGATACCAAGTATAGAGTTAGAAGTAGTATCCACAGCAACCATATGAAAACTACAAAGAGATGAATTCAGAAGTGCTATAAATAAGATGAAATCCAAAAACATGTTCAAGTAACTTGCAGAAAGGTAAGAAAGAGAATAAACAGCAACAACATCCAAAAGAAACAAGTAGGAAATAATAAAATAGCATCCTAAAGTGCCAACATATCAATAATTGCCTTTGTTGTAAACTGTCTAAATATACCAATCAAAAGACAGATTAGCAGAGTAGATTAAAATATTTTTAAAAACCCCACTAAATCCAACTATATGTTCCATATAAGAAATTCATTTGTTATTCAACCACAGGTAGCCTAAAGTAGGATGGAAAAGACACACCATGTACACATTAATAATAAAAATTAAAAGGAGCGACAGTATTAAAATCTCCTAAAGTAGACTTCATAGCAAAGAAAATTATCAGAGACAAAAAGATATTATATAATAGTTAAAGGATCAGTCTGTCAGGAAGACACAATATACTAATTTGTATAAACTAAACCACAGAGCTTCAAATACATGAGGCAAAACTGTTAAAGCTGAAAGGAGAAAGAGAAGAATCTACAATTATTGTTGGGAACCTTAACACTGCTCCCATTCAGTAACTGATAGAAGTATTAGGCAAAAACATCTGAGCAACACAAGCATCAAGATCTAATTAACATATAAAACAGACCATCCAACAACAGTAGAATATAATTTTCTCAATTTCTTTGGAACATTCACCAAGTAGAAAAAAAAACCATAAAATATACCATAAAACAGATCTTGACCAAAAAAAATGGAAATCATAAAGCTTATATGCCATGACTACAATGGAATCAAACTGGAAATCTGTAGCAAAGACAACAGGAAACTCAAAATACTTGGAAACTAAGCAGTACACTTCTAAATAATTATGGGTAAACAATAAGCCTCAATGAAGATTAAAAAGTATATAGAACTAAGTAAAAATTAGAACACAAAGTATGTAGGAGGCAGCTAAAGCAATATTGAAAGGGAAATTTATAGCACCAAATGCTTACATTTAAAATGGGGAAAGGTGTAATATAATTTAAATTCTTTCCTCCAGAAACTAGAAAACAGAGCACAATAAATGCAAAGCAAGCAGAAGGAATGAAATAATAAAGATCAGAGAATAAAATTGGAAATAGGAAAACATTACTGAAAAAAGAACCCAAAGGAAACAAAAAGTTGGTTCTTAAAAAAAAAAATCAGTAAATTTGATAAACCTCTAGCAAGACTGAAAAAAATAGAACACATATCACCTATATCAGGAATGAAATAGGATATATTATTCCAGATAGTGCAGTTGTTAAAAGAAAATAAAGGAATACTACATACATCTATATGATCATAAATATGACAATGTAGAAAAAAACAGAACAATTCCTTAAGCACCACAGACTACTGCAATTCAAGATGATGAAAGACAATCTGGATAGCCCTATGACCATTAAGGAAGTTGAATTTTTAATTAAAAAGCTTTCCAAAATCAAACTCAAAGCCCAGATAGTTTCACTGGACAATTCTATCAAACTTTGAAAGGGTAATTAAAACTAACTTTATACCTCTTCCAGAAAATAGAAGAGGGGGAAACATTTCCCATCTCATTCAGGAAGACAGTAGAGCCAGACAAAGACATGGCCAGAAAAAAAGAAAAGAAAACTGCAAACA